TCCATGGATGGCCTGGACACAGAAGTGCAGTTCCATCTTTGTTACATTTTTTATTACTTTTGCTACAGTATTCTGACTGATAAGTAAAGCTTTGCTAATCTTCTTGTAGGCTTCACCTTTCTTGTGGACAGAAATTATTTTCTTTCTCAGGCCTCATGACATTTCTCTTCCATGTGGTGCCATTGCTGACAGAATGAAATGGGAAGGGGTTTTATTTGTTATGTAACGCCTTTTTATAATCAACTGTCTGTTGGACACATGTTTAAAAAATAGACTCCCCTGTAGTTGAATTCTTAGAGATAATATACTTTTTTGCAGCCACCGGGTGGTGCCGTGGATACATATATTAAAGCTTGTTCCACATCCTAATCGTTATGACAAAAGGGGAGAAGAGACCATATATATGGACTTTGTAGGCATGTACCCAACACAATTGTTAGTTAAAACCTAATAGTTTACTTTGAACCATGATCATAACATGCAAATCACATCAAATGATAAAAAACACTTCTAAAAAATCACTAATGTTGGAGCATAATAGTGTTCACCCCCTAACAGTAGAGGTATTGACAATTGGTGATGGGAATGGCAATGGCATAAAGCCCTTCCATATATTTCCAACTGTTGGGGTGCTTCAAGATTTAGTACTCTACATGTTTCGCGACCAGCCATCACTTCTTCAGAAGCTTTGTCTATATGAAAAGCAGAACACACATAATGAGCATAGATATTCAATTAACAATATATTTATAAATAGAGATGACTATTACATGACTTACTAAAAACTTGACCGGACGGTCAAATACATATGCAATTGAACAGAGGACCCCGTGGGACGACGATAAAGCCTGGTAATGAGTAGGACATCCCTCTTTGCCTGGAGCACCCCTTAAATGCAAGTCTTACCTATATTACCACAGGAATGTATGGCCATATACATTTGGAGGGACTATAGTGTGCCTGCATAAGGGAAGATGGCACTAATTTGAGGATACGCAATTTGGTTTTGTGAAACCATACCACAGGTAAACTTTATAATTAGTATAAGGAAAATATATACATAGGGGCTCCAATAGACCACCAGTAATTTAATTTCTAATTTGCATTTATAGAACATGTGGCCATTTAAGATACCACTTCTTGGACCACCTTAATTACTAAACAATGACCCGTATGTGAAAATTTGTGGATGATTAAGTACTAGCTCTTTCCTAATTAGCCCTTGTGGGCTCCTTAATTGATATAATATCACTTCATCGAGGCCAACTACCCTACAACTGTAATAGGTATTTATTGTATTTGTATTACAATATTTCTTTCATATTCTTTGTCATCAGTACATTTAATACCTTAATTCTGCTCATTAATATGGGTAACCACCCCTAATTTTCTTCCCCCTCCCTCTCCTCCCCTTCAGTTCTGTATGTACCTCCACATCCACACATTACCAGGCCTTATCGTTGTCCCTTGGGGTTCTCTGTTCAATTGCATTGTATTTAACATTGTATTTAACCACTTGTCAACCGCGCTATAGCTGAATGACGTCTACAGTGCAGTTGTATGAAGGGCATCATATGACGTCCTCCCAGAACACGCCCTCCTGTGCACCCCCAGCGATCTCCATGATCGCTGTGTCCAATGACACAGCACATCACCAGGTAAATGCAGTTGCCGGTTATCGGCTGCACTTTCCTCACACTATGACAGGAAGTACTGCCGATAACTGGCAATTGTTAGAAACAGATGATCAGTGTCACCCACCAGTGCCAAGCAGTGCCAACCACCTGTACCAAGCTGTGCCCCACCTTCAGTGCTGCCCAGCAGTGCCGCCAGTCAGTGCTGCCCATCAGTACCGCCTATCAGTACAGCATCATCAGTGCCAGCTCATCAGTGCCGCCTATCAGTGCTGCCTTGCTGTGCCACCTCATCAGTGCTGCCTTTCTGTGCCACCTCATCAGTGCTGCCTTTCTGTGCCAGCTCATCAGTGCCAGCTATCAGTGCTGCATTTCTGTGCCACCTCATCAGTGCTGCCTTTCTGTGCTACCTCTTCAGTGCTGTCTATCTGTGCCACCTCATCAGTGCTGCCTATCAGTGCAGCCTCATCAATGCACATCAGTGAAGGAGAAAAATTACCTGTTTGCAAAATTTTATAACAGAAACAAAGAAAAACTTTTTTTTTCACATTTTTTTGCTCTTTTTTTTGTTTATATAGTGCAAAAATAAAACCCCCAGTGGCGATTAAATATCACCAAAAGAAAGCTCTATTTGTGTGAAAAAAAGTATATACATTTGATATGGGTACAATGTTGCATGACCGCGCAATTGTCATTCAAAGTGTGACTGTGCTGAAAGCTAAAAATTTACCTGGGCAGGAAGGGGGTATAAGTGCTCGGTAGGCAAGTGGTTAACAAATCTTGTTTTGCAATCAATGGCCCAAATTTGTGGGAGAATTTTGTAGTATAGTGTTCCCATAGAAAATGATGATTCTGAAAGGAAAGTAAAGGTTTTCTGACAAATCTGTTGGGGTGTACTCATTTATGCTGAGCACTATATAAAATAGTTGTAACATCAATAGTCTACCAAAATATTTACTGCTTATAAATCTTTTTATAAAAGTTATTGGAACAAAAGTAACCAATCTGGAACTGTGCTATATAACTGCCTAGGAATTACAAATTATTCATAAAGTAATACCTAGTAGTTAATAGAATGTCCAAGATTCCCATTTATGGTCAAAGAAATGCTTTGTATCCATAACTGTATGATGGGCTCTTTCCATTAGTTTTTTTGCCTTCATGTGATGAAGTACCTGAGACCAGAATACAGAGGGAAAACGCCAGTTAAGGGCGATAGCCAAATGGATGGCACTAAATAAAGTGTGTGCCAATTTTTGGCAAGGGGTGGTACCTCTGGCAGCTAAGCAAAAAATAATTATTGGAGTGCCAGTGATTTTAGACACCTTGATTGATGCCTGTTGCCAAAGTGCCATGCTGGAAGAGCTCTGCAGTTCAAGAAGATATGTAAATGTGTACCTCTATCCTGGCAACCTCAGAAACACATCTCAGGTACTAAGGGATAAAATGTATGTATTTTAGCGGGGGGTATATTACCATCTAGTATGAAGTTTGATAACAGTCTCTGTAATCACTATACAGCATGTGCTTTTATGCATATTGGGGATCATATCTAGCCATTCCTCTGCGGAAAACTCCTGACTTGTCTCCGCTTCCTAGATCAATATTGCAGAGAACTTGGCTGGAATGCCCTGCTCATTGAGATACTTATAAATGACTGAAATAATTCCTTTGTGTCTAGAGGTCTCACCACATAATCCTTCAAAAGCCTCTGTTGTGTCTCCTCATCTGAAGAGCCATAGGTAGAATAAAAATGTCTAATCTGCAAATATTTATAAAATCCAGAATGAGGGAAAGCATACTGCTGTTGTAAAAAGGAAAAGGAGCTAAAGGGCAACTCCTGTGAAAGAGAGTCTAAAGTCACCAAGCCTTTGTCCTCTCATCAAGCAACTCCAACTCCGACCTGGAAGCATATGCAGGTGGAAATGTAGGCTCACCTAAGCAGGAGGGGGCAGGGGCAGCAAATTCTATTGCATTTTGTACAGTGACTATAGGTATAGGGATTAGCAGACCAATCCATTCAGTGGGGAGATATCCTTTGGACATATAGGGTGTAACCAAAGGAGACCTGGTAGGTAGTAAAAAGGTTCAACTGAAATATGTTTGAAGCGAAGCCATGGTGCAGGAGGGGGGGTGTGCCATTTGAATCAACGTTGCAGCTACTGTAAATAATATTTCCAATGGTTAGGCACACCTAGACCACCGTATGATTGGTATCTATACATTAGTAGGCATCCCAAATTAGTTTTTTTGTTTTGCCAGTTAAATGTATTCATGAATTGTCTCAATGGTTGAACAGGAAATGGAAGGGGCTAAGCGCATTCCTAGGTATGATAGAGAACTACTACTCCAAGAAAAGACAAATTCCATCTATTAAGGATTGAGGGATATTGATAGGTAAGGTTACACATTTGGATAGCTTCACTCCCAAACCTGTGAGATCTTGAAATACCTGGAGTGTGAACAGAAGCTTTGGTAGGAAAACTAACGGTTCGGTCAAGAAGATAAGTACATCATCCACACATAAGCTAAGTTTACATTCCTGGTCTTTTGTATACTGTAGCTCTGAATGTTAGGATTTTAACCATGCCCCCTGATTGGCCCTGATTTGACCTGCTGTTGTTGCTGACCTGGCGTGTGACCCGACATTCTATGCCCTGCCTTGTACCTTGCGCCTCTCTATGTTACCGATAATTGAACAAGCTAGTGACTCTATAGCCAGAGTAAATGGAAGTGGTGAGAAAGGACATATTATGCCTTATTCCACGACCCAGAGTGGTGCAGCAAGGTATTTAATACATGTCCGAGGGTGTGGTAAAGAGCTCGGAAGCTATTAACAAATTTCCTTCTAAAGTCAAATTTAGCCCCTAACCTACCAGGCACTTATACCCCCTCCTGTCCAGGCCAATTTCCAGCTTTCAGCGCTGTCGCACTTTGAATGAAAATTGCGCGGTCATGTAACACTGTACCCATATGAAATTTTTATCATTTTTTTGTGACAGATAGAACTTTCTTTTGGTGGTATTTAATCACCTCTGGGTTTTTTTTTTCTTAAACAAACCAAAAACCACTGAAAATTTTGAAAAAAAAATGTTTTTTCTTAGTTTTTGTTATAAAATTTTGTAAATAAGTTATTTCTCTCCTTCACTGATGTGCGCTAATGAGGCTGCACTGGTAGGTGGCACTGATGGGCTTTGGCAGGCATCACTTATGGGCACTGAAAGGCAGCACTGATACATGGCACTGATATATGGCACGGATAGGCGGCACTGACTGGCACTGTTAGGCGGCACTGACTGGCACTGTTAGGTGGCACTGACTGGCACTGTTAGGCGGCACTGACTGGCACTGTTAGGCGGCACTGCCAGGCACTGATAGGCGGCACTGGTGTGCACTGATAGGCAGCACTGACTGGCACTGATAGGCGGCACTGACTGGCACTGATAGGTGGCACTGATTGGCAGCACTGATAGGTGGCACTGATTGGCATTGATAGGTGGAACTGACTGGCACTGATGGGTGACACTGAAAGGCAGCTCAGGTGGGCACTGATATGTGGCATTGATGTGCACTGGTGGGCACTGAGATGTGGCATTGATGTGGTACTGATGGGCACTGGCACAAGGCACTGATGAGCACTGACATAAGGCACTGATGGACACTGACAGGTGGCACTGCTGGGGCTACACTGATCACCAGGGCACACTGATCATCAGTGCCCTGATGATCAGTGTACATGTCCCCTCCGCTGAAAGCTGATTACCGGCTCTCCTTTCCTCTCTCCGATAACCGGCATTTCCCTGTTTACATGTGATCAGCTGTGATTGGTCACATGACCGAGCCGACATCTTCGGCTCTTTCCATGATTGGTGATCCGCTGTATCCGACGGACACAGCGCACCGCTGAACGCCGCTCATGCGCAGTGAGAATTGGAGGACGTCATATGACGTCCTCCCAGAACGAGAGAACCACCTTGCACCCGTCATATTACTATATGGCGGGCGGGAGGTGGTTAAATAAGGTGCTATCTAGGTAGGACCATAGGACGCTATCAAAAACCTTATGTATATCAAGGCTTAAGAGCGTAACTCAGCAAGAGTGTAGTTCTGCACCTTGGATGATATTAAAGACCAGACGGATGTTCTCTGTGATTTGCCTGGATGATATAAAATCAGTTTGGTCAGGAGGCTAATCTGTCTGCAAGGAGACAGACAAAAATGTTTAAGTCATTGTTGATGACTGAAATGCGGTGGTAATTCTGAGGAAGGGTATGGACTTTGTTTGACTTGGGAATTAATGACATTTTAGTAACATTTTATCAGGAAATGAGTGCCCTTTCAGTATACGAGTAAATAGTTTGGCCAGTTTAGGAACTAACAATCCTACAAATTTTTATATAGTAAGATACAGAAAATTCATCTGGACCAAGAGCTTTGGAGGATTTCAGAAAGGCAATAATAGCTGTGATTTCATCTTCCTTGCATGGAGCATTCATAATACACACCTGCTCTTCTGTAAGTTTCAAAAGAGAGGGCACATATAGCCAGGGATGTGGAACAGGGCTGGGTGTGTGGCTTGGAGAGGATATCTCGGTATTAGATAGAGAAAATTTATAAGACTTCCTTGGGATGAGAGACGATGTCCCCTCTAGGATTTCTGAGCTTATATACATTGTGGCTGGAGGGATTGATTAAGCTTTCTCTCAAACATAGCAGAGGCTGAGTTACTATATAGGAGGAAATGGGCCTTAGACCAACGTAAGAATTTTTCAGTGTTTTTGGAGCGTATTGTATTCAGTGCAACCCTTTTTTTACAATTAATCTGATGTAATAGGTCTAAAGAATGGGATTGGCTATGGAGGTGTTAGAGTTTGTCTAAGTCCAGGGTAAGGGAGAGTATCTCCTGTAGTTTTTGTCGCTTCCTAGCTGTGGCAATATCTTTCAAATGGCCTCTCATGACAGCTTTGTGGGCAACCCATAAGGTTGTAGGGAATACGTCGTCCACTTCATTAGTGGCACAGTATTCTAGATGGTCTGATTGGGCTACCACGGATGGATCTGCAAGGAGAGAATCATTAAGACGCCAGTAGGAGATAGGCCCACATGGCAAATTGAAAAGGACACTATATGGTGATCAGACCAGGGGCAGACATGTGTATTCTCCGATACCCACACTAAGGGCTCTCAATCAACTGATGTGATCTAAGTAAATATTTAAGAGTCTTAAGGAAAGCATTAGCTATTGAAACTACACAGTTTCTGTCAAGCTTGGAGTGCACAACTGAGTGAAAATCTCCTCCAACCACTAAATGTGGCAAATTAAACTTGTCTAACACCTGAAAAAAAAACTTAAAAAAGGTTGCTTGTGAGTCATTGGGAGGATATACAGATGCCAGCATAATCCATTTACCCTGTAATGAGCCCTTAATCATCAGGAATCTGCTGGCAGATAAAAACTTATAAATCTATAAACTTCTTGTACATCCAGCATTACCGAGTTTTTAATAAAGATTGCATCACCCCGTACCTTGGACTCAAAGGTGGCAAAAAAACATTGCTTATAGTATTTGTCAGAATAAGAAGGATGATTATGTAGAGTCTCCTGTAGAAGGAGAAAATCAGCTTCCATATGCCTGTAGGACCTAAAAGCTTTTTTAGAGAGAAAAAGTGAAAGAGAGACCAAGTTTAGGGGAGCTCACATAAACCAACATACTGTATACCGATGTAATTTATTTAAATGATAAATCCCAGGTAATGGGAGTATAGCAAGGAACAACAATAGGAATTCCCAGGAGGAATTTATATACATGTGTGTTCTGGTTAGTACTATATATTGTATAAGAAAAAAAAAAAGGTAATAAACAAAAACAATAAACATGGTACTAGGCGTCTAAGGCCAACAGGGGTCAGGTGTAAATGTCCAACTGACCAAAGTGAAACTACGAATCAGGACTCTACAGACTAATACTCTAATGCAGGGGCGGACTGACCATTTGGAAACTCGGGAACTGCCCAAGGGCCCGGGGTCAGTAGGGAGCCCCTGGTACCTGGTATGAGATGCCCCTGGTACCTTTTTCATAGGCTTTTTTGAGTTTAGGCAAGGACACAGGGGCCCCATGATCCCCTATTGCCCAGGGGGCCCCATGAGTTGTCAGTCCGCCCCTGCTCTAATGTTCAAATAAGCAAAGTTAGCCGATTGGAACAATCATATAGCTAAAATGCAGAAAAAAAGAAGTGTAGCTCGGGGTAAAATTTCAATACCAAGAGCGGTAACTCCGAGCTACACTCGGGCTTACCATGTGGTGTTGCTCAGGGGGTCCCTGCAGCACTTACCTTGTCCTTTGCTCCCACGATGTGTCCCCTGCAGCGTCCCCAGCCATCTCCTCTGGCCAATGCCGGCATCCGGCTTCCGTGTTCCGGTCCCTGTGACCTCGGGACGTACGGGCGCCGGAACCGACGGGAAATTTGACATTTTTAAAAAATGTCATTTTTGCTGTCATTGCTGTTTCAATGCATTTCACATATATTTTGTCCCTACTGCTTTGTCCTGTGCCCTGCCTGCATTTTGACTGTTCTTTCTGCCTGGAAACTTAGAAAAGTCCATGGCGTCCAAAAAGCGTCCCTTTACGTCAAAAGCGGTTTTAGAACAGTGATAGTAAATCAGAACCACTTGCAGAATTGAGTGATAATGATTCGTGGGGAAATTCGTCATCAGACACTGAAAACGATTTTGCGACTTTGCTCAGCGATGTGCGAATTTGCCTCTGTATTTCAAATTTCAGTGTTTTTGGTTTGATTATATTATTGAATTAAATTTATTATTATATTATTATTTTTTATGATTATTTATTAAATTATAATTTATGATTTCGTGTTTCAAGTTTTATCATATCCGGAATGTTTACTAGACTCTTGTTCGTACAGATTTCAGTGAGTTATTCCTTAAAATTACAGCCTACAATAAAAAACTACATATTTCCATGCAAAAAAATGGTACCACCGCTTTCAGCACAAAAATCGGAATTAATCATACCGCCAAGGAGGTTAATATAGCAATGAACAAGTCTGAGGGTGGATAGTTAGAGCACCAGGTATTCACCAATGTAGGGTGGGGGGACATCCAGGTGTGCGCTTCAACAGTTCTAGGAGATTCAAGGAGCTTATGAGCTTAACAGCTAATCCAGTTAAGGTGGAGAAGGAATCCGCAGGTTGCTTGATCTTGACGTTACCTTCTGCGGTCCTGTCTAGTAGAAGGGGTTGCCCAGATTGGAGATGAGCGCGGAGCAGATGGCAACCAGGATAAAACCATCTCATCAAGGAGGCTTAACTTCACCAAAAGTTATTTTCCCACTGGAACTGTGTATGTGGTGCATTATGGGGAATCTGAAGTTTAAATGGAAAACCCCAGCGATAATGGATCCTTGCAGCTTGCAGTAAAGAAGTGACCTCTTTCATCTTGTGACTCTTGTCTAAAGTGGTGGGAGAAGTTACTGGATATAGCTGAATCGGTACCTCGTCCAGTTGAATTTTTGGGGTGTCTGGGCTTGTTTCAGCCGAACGCCATCTTAGGACATCCTGCTCTACTCCCATAAGTAAGTTATTAGGGATATTTGAGCAATTTTTTGGGACAGTTCTTGGGTGTTGGCATGCGCTAGATATTCTGTCAGGGGTGCTAAAAAGAGGTTGAATCAGAGGCTAATTAGCCCTGGGGAACCTACAGAAGCCTGCGTTACACTAGCTTCCGTTCAGCTTCGCCCTGAGCATGCACCCCCTGACACAGACTCTTAAAGGGGCACTCACATTACATCCCATAATGTTGAAACTTTCAGAGACCAGAATGAGCCGTTAACCCACTCCAAATTGGTTATGACTATTTGAGAACAAATTCCAAGAAAGCCACTGTTGGTTCACCAAACACATTTGTTACGGTGGTAGGAACTAGAGATGAGCGAATCGAACATGACAAAGTGGAATTCGTTCCGAAGATTTGGAAAAATTTGATTCTCGACGAATCCGAAGATTAGCAAACTTCGGATGCACGAATCGAATTTTCCCAAAAATGGCGGTGACATGTGTGGCGACGGAGAAAATGGACAGAGAAGATGGGGCGGGGATCTCTGGGAAGGCGCGCAGACAAGGCGCGCTGACCCATAATGCATTCATGACATGTGATGGCATTAGCCAATCAGCAGCCAGCCAGCACTGTGTAATGGTGGAGCTATAAATCGCGGCCATCTTAGAATTCTCCATTAGCCTACGGTCATTCAAGAGAGACAGACCTGTGTGTATTAAGGGACAGAGTTAGGGCCACAGAGACTTTAGGGCCACAGAATCGTTACTCAGGGACACAGAATCGTTACTCAGGGACACAGAATCGTTACTTAGGGCCACAGCTATCAAAGAATCGAAAATTTAAAGTGACATACACCCTTTTTTTTTTTTGGTGGCTGTCGTGCACAGTTGGTGCTGCAGTTTGCCGATTGTGCAAAATAAACTGACTTTCTGCTTCACAACCACTATTGTACGTTCAAAGAGTTAAAATCCATTTACACGCCGGCTGGCGGTAATATTTTTTGGGTGATTAGTGCATTCCAGTGACAGAAACGTACAGTTTCCAGCCAGCGGCAAGCTGCAATTGACCGATTGTGTACAATAAACTGACTTTCTGCTTCACAACCACTATTGTACGTTCAAAGAGTTAGATCCATTTACACGCCGGGTGGCGGTAATATTTTTTTGGGTGATTAGTGCGTTCCAGTGACATAAACGTACAGTTTCCAGCCAACGGCAAGCTGCAATTGACCGATTGTGCTAAATAAACTGACTTTCTGCTTCACAACCACTATTGTACGTTCAAAGAGTTAAATCCATTTACACGCCGGCTGGCGGTAATATTTTTTGGCCCCCTGTACCGGCTCCTCATGAACGTGGTTC